AAAAAAAAAAAAAAAAGGAGAGGAAAAAAAAAAAACACCCTCGGCCTAAATTTGCTTTCAAAAGTGAAGTGTGAAAAGACCTCAAGCAGAGTACACGGTGTCACTGTCTCAGGAAAGCCAATTCCGTGACGACAGAGAAAAAGGCCCCCGCCACAGTTCAATCACACCCTCACCCACTGTGAATAAAGAAAAAAAAAATCCAAGGAGAAAGGGTTCCACTTGGGGAAATGGAACCTCGCATTGTCTTTTCTCTTGATGCTCGTTCACATGTATGGGCGCAGCTGTGTCCTTTCTCTGACTAATCCTCAAGCTGATGCTGTGATATTAGCCTCCCTCTTCTCTGTCCCTAAACCCTATTATACATGGCCTCGTGTCCTATATTCAGTAGCAGAAATTTCAGATTTATCTTGTAATTAGTTTGGCAGCAAACTAGAGAATCCTAACGAGATGATTTAGTTTGGTACTGAGAAGATCAAAGATGACTTTTTAAAATTTTAAAAGCCGGGAAGATTTGGTTCTAATAAGTTTCCTTGTATATTTACATGCATTATAGCTGCACAGCAAAAGCTTACTATAGAAGATAATCAAAATCAGATACTTTGAAAGCACAAAATACTAGGTAGCTTTATGTGTTAGTATGGACATTCTTATAGCGTCAGTTTGTTTTTCATAACAGTGAATGAATCACTTCTTCACCTCTGGCTAGGATCAAGTGTAGCATAATAGTGATTTAAGTAAGGCATCTCAAACTTCTTGACAGAATTGTATGTATTACAAATACATTGGTATACACTCATATACCAAGTCATCACAGAATTTGCTTTAGGCTTTATAGTTTTAGGATAAGTGTATTCGTTACTCCTTGAATTGGAGTTTTAAGTCATCAGGGGAAATAACGTGAATAAATATCCACTAGAGCCTCGAGCCACAGTGGTATTTCTAGTGGAGAAAATTTAGGACTAAATAGATTCTTCTTGGATTCTCTGAAAGTTACATTAGTTCAAGTAACACAGTAACTCGTGGATTGTGAGAAAATGGAACTCTTTGTAACCCACTTGGCTTATAACAGTTTATGAACATTGCTTCCCTAATGAAAAGTTGTACAACGAACCAACTAATAATACATTAATAATAACAAAGTTTCCCTCGTGTGACAGCTTTTTGGCAACACAGAGGCACTCCAGAATTTTAAGCCATGATGTAAATTTTCCATCCATCCAGAGTAACATGTGCAGAGTGTCTGCTTTGTGACCAAGCTTGTGTTACACAGAAGTGTGTGTGTGTGTGTGTTCACTAAATCTCTCGAGGGTTTTAGTGGTGAATAATTACTTTACACTCCCCTCGAATAACGCCCCACTCACATATTTTCCTACAAATCAGAAAATCAGCAAAGAAAGACGTACTGTCTACACACACACACACACACACACACACAATCTATCAAATTCCTTTTCCTCTGACACAAGGAATTGGTAAGAATCAGCAAAGTCTCTGCTCCCTCATCGAAGGACCACACTGCCAAATACAGCACACTATGGGTGCATGCAGGTTTTCTGGCCCATGGTTTCCTTCTGGTCTACGTGTTCTCTCTTGTCTCGATGCACATTATTCTCCTCTGTGCTGAGAGAATTTTCAGATTTAACCCACAGTCTTTACCATAGCCTATTGACTCTTCTCTGAACAAATTGTGTTAAGAGTACAAAAATGAGTAATATTTCAGCCATTACCGCCAATCCCTGAAGTTTCACAGAAAAAGTATTCTTTTATAAAGCCCAGGGGTCACAGATATTTCCATTGGTTGGAAGGTCGTGTGTATACTCATTCTGTCAGAAGGATGCACAGTTTTCCTTACTGTTAATAGCTGGTACTATGTGATTTTGGAATTGATTTTTTTAAAGGATCAGGCAGAAAGAACTCCTTTCTTAGCTCCATGTCACTAAAATGGGACTTCAATTCTAATATTTTTCCACGCTAGAGTAACACTGTGGTTAGAGCCCAGAGGAAGTGTGAACACTTACTCCCAGGGTACCACAAATTGTTGGAACACTGAATAGCCCAATGTACAAAAAAAAAAAATTACTGTATAGTCTGGAAATAGATTTGCCAAAATTCAGCCAGAAAGCAAACAACAAAAACAATCTTTAGGCCTAGGCTCTAAATATTTAAACAACAAATTTTTAAATAACTTCCTTGTGTGTCTGATTTTTCAATATCTAGAAACACAAGTAAATGTACAGACTAACAAACTTCAGATGGGAGATACCGTAGAGTTCCTACTTTGCAGAGGTAAGAGGATAAAATGTTCTCAGGGCTGGGACATAAATAGCTACCCTTCTAGCCCAGATCAGCACCTGTAGTAAAATTTAGTCCCACAGTTTCCACACATTCACTAGTTTGGATGAGGCTTTTATTTTTAGCTTGGGAAGGGTTGTGCTATTTCTGCCTTACTCATTTTTATCCAGAACTAGTAACAAGAGAGTGCATGCATTTTTCTACCTTCAATGCATCATGTGTACTTTACAATAAACTCAAACAATCTAGCAATGATAATCTGTGAAATGACATCTTAGAAAAACTTTCTATGACTATACCAAAAGCAAAACAGTTTTAAGATTTTATCAGCTAAAATACTGAAAGGAATACGTACCCAATCCTTCAGATTCAAATAGACACGTTTCGTCCACTCCTAAATCTCGACACCAGGATAGGAAATTTGCTGTATTATCTCGGGCAAAAAAGGAGCCTGAGGGTGCGCTGGCTTTGCATGGAATCTTCTTCAGTGGCAGACTCTGAAAAATAAAGAAATCTCACTTTGCTGTAGTATTTGGCAAAGAGTTTCACAGTGACACATAAAAACATGTTTATGTTGAAATCAAAATGCTTTGGAGTGATCTCATATCAGTAAGTAGGTTTGTGAGGAATTATAGAAAGGAAATATAATGCTGATTAAACTTATGAAGGATTAAAAGACCACAAAAATCTATGCCTGCAAGCACATAAGCTTCCCCTTTAGTGCTTAATTGTAATAGTTAATATGAGTAGCGCTTAGGTTCCTTTCCTAGCTAAGCTTATGTTTGCCCTTTATCTTCTACTATTTCTTTATGCATTCTCTGTTGTGTAGGTATTCTACTACTATGTCCTACAAAGTAATTATTAATTTATTCCTCAAAATCTCATAGTATATGAAAATTATTTACATTATTAATACCAATTAATATAATATTACATGTATTGATGTATTCATACATTAATAATGTAAATACTTTTCATACATATTCACATATATTCAATCTGTATTCTAATGGATATATATATATATATATATTTACACATATGCCATAAAAATTATGCAAGAATTATAAAGTCAAAGGAGAACAGGAGAACTGTCTAACAGCATAAGTCTCTACTGATACTAAGAGGGGAAATGCTGAGATTCTTTTCAAAATAACATTCTTCCACTGAGCTATACCTTCAAACATATGAAAGTCAAGGCTAGACCTCAGGCCTTCTGGAGTTCTGTATTTTGGCCTCTGAAAATTTTTATTATTTATTTATTTATTTTAGTAGTAGCATTGGAAACTCAGGACTTCAAGCATGCTTGGCAAGTGCTCTACCACTAAGCTGTATTCCCAGTCAGAATACAAACATTGTACTGTCAAGAAAGCTTCCACCCAGATCACAGCGGAAGGCCTGAGTGGGCGGGCAGTGCGCCCCTTAGAGGGCTGTGTGTGCAGCTGCAGGTGCAGCCAACGCTGTAGGAAACGGAGATGCCAGGAATGCAAGAACATCTGCTGAGCAAATTCCTGGGCAGGGAGTGAGGCAAGCTCAAGAGAGGGGCCACAGAGGGTACAACCATCAAGCCCAGGGGGCAGGACTGCCCAGCGCTTTGCAGTTCAAATCTCACAACAAGCTTTCCACGTTGCTGGACACAGAGCCACAGGATTTACTGCTTGCCCTGTTGTTTCTGTGTTGCTCTGGTGCTAAGATTTAGACCTAGATGTCCTGTAAAACCTCATGTGCTCAGAGGTGGAGCTTGTGGAAGGTGACTGGACCATGGGGCCAGTCACTATACTCATGGGTGGGATGGCTTAATAAGTAGGTTCACAGGGGTGTGCTGTTAGGAGCCTAGGCTGTTAGGAGGAAACTGGTCACTGACACCTTCACCTGGAAGGGTGTAGCTCCCTCTCTCTGCTTGCTGGCTGCCAGGACAGGAGGAACGTGTCCACAGCACACTCTTCTACCATACCAGTTTCTGTGATTGAACTTGTCAAATATGGACTGAAATGTCTGAATCTGTGAACCAAAATGCACCCTCTAGTTTCCAATGTTAGGTACTATGTCTCAGCAATGAGAAAAGTGACTAAGACATTTAGGTCCAATTCCCTTCTATTGTTACTCCATTTTGGAATGGGGGTGTTTACTATGTGCTATTATATTTAAAATGTTTTGTGTTTAAAAATCAGAGTCTCACAGCTAAGAATTTACAGAGTCTCAGAGGAGACTTTGGACTGAAACTTTTCAGCAATACTAGAACTGTTGATATTGGTGATTCTTAGAGATGGGCTAAATGCATTTTGCATAATGTGATGAACCTTTTGAGGCTCGGAAAATGATGCTATGGCTTAGATCTATAATGTCATTGATGTTTGGAAAGTGATTGCATCTGGGGATTGCTATATTCATCAGTAGTAGGTTAGTCAACTGATGAGCTCATAGAGAACTTGCTGTAAGAGGCAGGGCCTCGTTAAATGTGGGTCATTGGAGGCGTGACTGGAAAGGGTACATTCTTGCCTTCCCGTCCCCTCTTTTTGCTTCCTGGCTGCCATGGGACAAACAGCTGTCCTCTACCAGACCATTTTCTGTGCATTTCTAATTGGAATTAGCTGAGGAAGGACTGAAACCATGAACCAAAATAAACCTTTCCTGCTTTAACTTGTATATGGCAGGTAAATATTTTGTCCCTGCCATGAGAAAGTGGCTAAAAGATGATCAAGATGTGACATGTATACCTATCAATTATTCAAGACAGATGTAATTATTATCTATCACAAACATATGTCAAAATAAATTTAAAAAGGAAGAACAGGGTGAATTTTATAATATGTGAATTATATGTTGAAAAAACTTTCTTTTAAGGGACAGACAAAAGCTTGGAAGAGAAAAATGAAAGTCTATGATGCTATCCTAACACTTTGGGAGGCCTAGACAAGGAGGATTATACGGTCCAGCTCTGCCTATGGAACGTAGCAAGAACCTTCCTCAAAGTTTTAAAAACTTTAAAAAGGACTAGAGATAGGCATGGTGCAAAGGTTCTAGGCTGAATCCACATTGCTATGATAAGAAAGAAAGTTCTGCAGTCTTTCTAATCTGTCTCAACGAGAGGACACAGCTTTACTATATATATATATATATAAAGATAATTCTTGTCCTAATTGTACCATTTGAAATGAAAGATACTGTTTACACTCTGCTTTGTTTCACTTATTACTCAAAGAATGATATGAATCTGGGCAGTCATTCTTATAATAGCCAGGAGATGCCTGATTCCTGTGGCAGAAAGGAATGCACTATCCACACTGCACTGGAGAAGCAAGACATTGATTTGATACTTAATTCACCTACTGGCACATTTAAAAAATACCCACAGGCAACATGTTCTCGAAAATTGCTTAGCCCACCTTTCAAGGACTTACAAGGATAAGTATCAAGTACATGAATGAACACAGCATTTTTCTCCTCGAAGCCTGAAGTCCTTGAAAAGTTATCAACACATCACATTCAAATATCTAAAATTCCCTGAAACTATATTGAAAGCCATGAAAACTTATTTTGAGATCAATGAAAGAAAAAGTGGGTAGTAGACATTTAATAATTTGGAAATTTCCAATGCAGAGGAATTCAACACAGATCTAACCAATCACTTTGCATTTAGGTCATTTATGGGGTATTTGCTTATGTTCTAGAGTTGGTAGACTTAAGAGCTTCTTTACCAGTGGAACACTAGGGACGAATGAAGTATATCCATGGAACTTCCAACCTTCAACCAAATAAGAAAAAAATTTAAGTAGAATTATAACATGCCATCCTTAATAGTCCAAATGATCGATAAAACATCATACGTGATACCTATAAAGTCCTTTACATGAAACTAGGAATCAGGAATTCTGCTCATTAATAGCGAGCAGTAGTGTGAAGCTTATGGAATCCTCCTAGCCACGCAATAACCAAACCTTCAGTCAAATCAGAGGAGCTGCACCATTTGTAATCAAGTCTCTTACTGAAGAATTCTTGATTTCATCTAAATTAAAGAACAAATGGTTCAATAATACCAGCACTCGAAACTTTTGGAACTAAGAGACTTTTTTCAAATATTTTACATGAAGGTATTTACTGAATTCTGCCAACTTCCAGCCTTGTAGTTTATTCTTTAATAAAAAAATTAAAAATAATGCCAAACAACAAATTGATGTATTAAATAAAATCAAGTTTCACCCTGCGGCAGAAGTCTTGGGAAAAGAGATGAAGAATAAAGAAATGCCTCAAATAATTACAGAAATATATACTTGGAATAGCTGAAAAATTTACCGCAGATATAGGGAAGAATAACACAGATGCAAAGGAAATGGAATTCCAAAGTGACTCAACATGTAGCTCACCTGACACAACTTCCGTATTAGCCTTCCACATACTCCCTGGCTCTCCAAAGAACTTCTATAGCGTTAGAATTGTATACTATCTGTCTCGGACCGTTTAAGCATCTAAGTTTTCCAGGTGATGCTATTATATGTTAGGGACTGGAAATGTGAGGGCTGAATGGTTAGGCATAGCTTCCCCTCAGACCAGAGCATGGTCGTCTTCAGGTAGATCAAACGTCTGTCATAGAATGTTGGCATTCCCAAAGGGTATGTCGGCAGGGCACTTAAAATTCACTAAATTCATCACACAATTATACAGAAAATGCTTCCCAGAATTTAGAAAAGTGTAACAGAACAAATTAAGACTTTTAAAATATTTTGAAAGTTAGTGGATATGGAGTATGAGTTGATCTGAACTAGGATTGGAAATATCTTCAGACTCATTCACTCGCGAACCTTCTGATGTATGCCAGCCTGCATCATGTAAGATCCAATATTTTGGGTTAGCAAAATAAGAAAGTTCTATAAATAAACCACTGGGATCATTTGTCACAGATCAGTCAGATGAATATTTAAAAATTTAATACAAGAAGCCTCTGTTTAGCCAGGCATGGTGGTACACTTTCCAATTCCAGCGTTCTGGGAGGCTCAGGCAGCAGAATCACAAGTTTGACTTAGCGAGGCCATAGCTCAAAATAAGACAGGGAGAGAGGGAGAGAGGGAGGGAGGGAGAAGAAAGGAGAGAGGGAGGGAGAGAGAGAGAAAAAGAGAGAGGGAGAAGGAGAGAGAGGGAGAGGGAGGGAGGGAGGGAGGGAGGAAGGAAGGAGACAAAAACATTGGGAATGCAGTTCACTGTGAAAGCCCTAGTTTCAATCCCCAGCACTGAAAACACAGAAACAAAATAATCTATTGTTTATATATCTGAATGGTATTAACTTAAGATACGTACTGGTAGCCCCCAAATACTTATAGATTGATTGATGGAGCTACAAGAAAAGAGTTACGCATTTCCAAAAAGCACCCTTTCCAGTTCTTTCAGGCAATAACTGAGGTTGGTGGCAATAAAAAAAATTTTAACTTTTTTCCCCCGAGGTTTTCATTGAATCCTCTGCCTTTCGTGGTAACCACTTGCCAAGGAAGATCAATTATTATTA